CCTTCCCTTGGAGAGACTGCCTCAGATCATGTTTTCAGGGCTGTGTTCCTTAAACCTAGGGGTCCTGTGCTACCCTGGGAGTAGAGGTAGAGGCTGAGGTTCCTGTCATCCACTTCAGTCAGAGCACACATACTAAGAACCATCAGTTTGTGTTTCTACATTGGTTTTAATTTGGGAAGGGGTTTGGCCTATTTAAAAACTACCCTACTGGAGTTTACAAAAATAACATAAACCAGTTTATGTGAGGCTGGGAGGAGAGGAGTCCACTGAGACGCTGCTGCTGATAGAGCAGCGTGGCCAATGAAGAAAGACCAGGACCATGCCTGACTCACCTCTGTTCCCGTGTCATTCACCACAGGCCGCAGAGTCAGGTCAGTGAACGTTAAATGAACCGACCACAGTGGGTGTAGCCGTCAGCCCCTTTGATTTGGTGATTCCCAAGGACTGTGTTCAAAGGCAATAATCCCAAAGGAAAAAACCTGAAATTTTTGCAAGCATGTTAGATGCCATAATGAGTAGATTAATAATTGTTATAATAGCTGGGCGTGGTGCATGGTTGCTCACACCTGTTCCCAGCACTTCGTGAGGCCATGGCAGGATGATCACTTGAGCCCAGGAGTTCAAGACCAACCTGGGCAATGTAGTGAGACCCCAACTCCACAAAAAAAAGAAAAATTAGGCAGGTGTGGTGGCACACGCCTGTAATCTTAGCTACTCAGGATGCTGAGACAGCAGGATTCCTTGATCCCGGGAGTTCAAGGCTGCAGTGAGCTGTGATTGCACTCCAGCACAGAGCAAGACCTTGTCTCTTTAAAAATAATCATCATCATAATAATAATGAAGTATGTAGGCCTTTCAGTGCCCAGCCCAGAGGCTGCTTCCACAGGCCAGGATTTACAGGCAGCTCTGTGGGTAGAGGTAATACAGCAGTACCTGTATCTGTCACGTGCCTGGCGTGCTGCCGGGCACAGTTTGTTTATGTGTTTCTTGGCTGCCTCGTAGGGTAGATGCTATTGCGGCCACCTTTACAGACACATGTGGACATCCCAAGAGGTCAGGCCATGCCCAGTTGCGGGGCCCCCCAAATTCTCTGGCCCAGTGTATTCAGTGGGCTCTAATTTTTTCAGTGCTCTTAGAGAGCCTCTTATGTGTGTTGTCAGTCTAGGACTTGTTTTGGAGAAGCAGAGTTCTCAGCAATTCCTACTTAAATCAAGCAGAATGAAAGCCATCAAGGGCAACAAAGTGGAGGTGCTATGTCCTTGGATAGAATGTTGATTTCCAGCCGGGTGCGGTGGCTCACGCCTGTAATCCCAGCACTTTGGGAGGCCAAGGTGGGCGGATCACCTGAGGTCAGGAGTTTGAGACCAGCCTGGCCAACATGGTGACACTTCGTCTCTACTAAAAATATAAAAATTAGCTGGGCATGGTGGCAGGCACCTGTAATCCCAGCTATTCGGGAGGCTGAGGCAGGAGAATCGCTTAAACCCAGGAGGCGGAGGTTGCAGTGAGCCGAGATCACACCACTGCACTCCAGCCTGGGCGACAAGAGCGAAACTCTGTCTCAAAAAAAAAAAAATTGTTGATTTCCAAGTCAGCAGAACCCTGACAAGCACAGAGCTAGAAAGAATGTGCTCCCCAGCCCTGCCTAGTTCTGATTAAACCATGTGCTCATTTCATTTACAGGAGGCTGGGAGCCCTTGGGACACTGTGGAGGCAGGAGCAGGCCCCCTGCTCAGGGCTGCCCCGATCAGTTGGGTGGCCTGAGGCAGCTCCTTTCCCTCTTCAGCCCTCAGCTGCCTCGAGTCCTGTGATGGTCCAGGGAATCTCTTTTGGGCACTTCTTGCTCCAAGACCTGAAAGACTTCTGTCACTAAGAGAGAAACTGTCTTCTGGGACTGGACATTTTGACTCCAAGGAAACAACCCCAGGGTCCAGCGGCCCCAGCTCTGACCCCCAGGCTTCCACAGTACTCGCACAGGGGAGGCCCTCATTCTTGCCTTAAAACTGCCCCTAAAGCCAAGCCTTTTCACTGGGAAGCCCCAGCTGCTTACCTTTTGGATGCTAGTGAGTGCTGCCTTTTTGTATACTCATGGGGCTGATTGCAGCATAGCTGAGAACATGGAATGCAGAATGAGCCCGCCTGGCTTTGAATCCAGGCCCTACTTACTTACCAGCTATGTGGTTTTGGGCATAAGCCACTTTCTCTGTTAAGTTTTCTAATTTGTAAAATGTGGATCATAATTCTGCCTTTCTCTAGGGGAAGCTTTTAGAATAGTGCCTGGCACGAAATGCCTATGAATGTCTCAGTTAGTGTGTGTGTGTGTGTCTTTAACTTGTGTCCCATTCTCAGGGCCCCCACGTCAGTGTCTCATTTACATCTCACACAGTGACCCTGTGAGGCAAGGGTTTGCCCAGTTTGCAGATGAGAAACCCAAAGCTGAGAGAGGTGTGGATAACCGCCCAAGGTCACCCAGCTGTAGATGAACGTGGTCAGAACCCGGAATCTGGGTTGGTCACACTTCCCACTGATCCATGGGGCCTTTAAGCCCTCTGGAAGCTTCCATTAAAGATGATGATTTGGGGATAACTGTATTGGGATGCCAATGATCTTATCTAGGGTTTTCCTACCCACCCACCAACATTCAGCTCAGCTGCTTCTTTCTTCAGGACCCCCTCCCTGATCACCCCAGCCCAGAGTGGTTGCTCCTGCTCCTGGCTCTGAACCCATGACATGCCCAAGTCCCAATACTTTCCAGCCACCTGCCACTGCCTTTTGACATCTCCGCCTTGACTAGACTCAAATGGTGTTTCATAATAAAAGTGTGAGTTTAAGCAGTTTTACCGAAAATGCAAGGGAAATTTCATTCTGTTTATACGTTTCCAGACCCCCTGCCATCCTCTGCTGCTACTCACACAGGCAGAATAAGTGAAGGCAAAGATTGGTCTCTTGTGTTCACTGCTGTCTGTAGTACTTAGGATGGTGTTGGCACAGAGTTGGTGTTTGATTAAAGTGTCTGTTGAATTTTTTAGATGTCTTTTATTGCTTGAAGGAACTGGGTGTGTTGGAAGAGCCTGGGGGTATATCCCAGCAGATCAGAGCCCCAAGTTAGAAATTGTGCCTCCCAGATGACCAGCTACTTCTGCAGGCTCCACAGTGTTCATTTGTGAAGGCAGAGGCTGGGAGCAGGTGGCCTAATAACTAGGCTGTCTCTGAGGTCTCCTCCAGCTCTGGCATCCAGTGAATCTGGAATTAATCTTTGTCCTTGTTTGAACTTCTTCCCGGTTTTGGTCCTTGGCCCTGTACTTGCACGTTTTCTTTTGTTTTTGGAGTGAGCCAGCAGATGTTTAGTTTCTTGTCTGTTTTACACAGCTCCTGCTTGTATGGATGTGATCAGACTCCTCATGCCAATATCTGTCCAAACTAGTGAAAGTAGACCCTTTGACCACTCACTTACCAACAGCAATAAAAGCTTAATGATGTCTCTCTAGGGACACTAGTGAGCAAATCAGACTTGGTCAAGCCCTTGGGGAGCTTACATTATAGTGGGAGATAGAATAATGATCACAGTGTAATGCTGCAGTGTCAGCCTGGGAAAGCTGTGTGGTGCTGGGTCGGTGCCACCAGTGGGGATGAGAGGTGTCACCCGAAGATGGAGACCTCAGGGACCAAAGTGGGAATCATGAGTGAATAGGGGAAGGAAAGAAAGTTCCAGGCAGAGGGATCTGTGAGAAGGTGGCTTTGCGGTGTGTAAAAAGAGAAGGTCAAGGGGTCTGATCACCCAAACCAGGCCAAGCCTTGAGACTGTAGGCCTCTTACCATTGGGGCCCAAAGATGAGCTAAGGGGAGGGTTTCCGGCCAGGTAGCAAGAACAGCCAACCCAGAGCTCTGCCTGGGCTCTGGTCCTGGCCCTCGGTGGGTGGGCTGTGTTTTAGCAAGCCCCTTGCAGGTTTAAGCAATAGTCACATCCCCTCAGATTAATGCAAATGGCATTTCCTGTGTGAATAGTGTTTATTTATTAACATTTATTAAGTGTACTCTTGCTAAACATTCTTAAATGAATTAAGCAGTATTCAGCCCGCCCAGCAGCACTTGGAAGCACAGATACTATTTTACAGATAAGGCAGTGGAAGCTCAGGAGGTTTCATCGCGTGCCCAAGGCTGCATAGCTGTGAAGGGCAGAGTTGGGTGTAAGCACAGGTCAGTTTGGAGCCCAGGACCCTATTAATCTGGCCCATAGCTGCCCAGCCTAGGACTCAACTAAAGGCAGTTATCAGACCGACCTGCTGGGTGGCAAGAAACTGGCCCAGTCTTGTTTTCTTAGGCCCCCAGGAATGTGAGCGTGGACAGAAAGAGTCGTGGTGGCTCCTTCCCCATCACCGCCCCATCGTGGGTAGATTATAATGGACACACTCATTGGTGCCATCCTCAGGAAGCTTCAACTGTAGAGCAAGGCCTTGCAGGGCCCTGCCATGCACATTGTGGCCATCCAGGAGCCAGCAGCAGCCCTGGTGATCTGGTCGTCTTGTCCCTTGCAGACAAGTGATGACTACAACCTCTTCTCCTGACATCACTTGATTCAAAAAGCCTCTCTGACTCACCTGCTTCTTTTGCCACCGTGTCCTCTTCTGCCTACCCTTGCATTCCTGGTGCCCTAGGAAGACAAGATTGGGCCGGTTTCTTTACTACTCAGCCGGTCGGCCTGATAACTGCCTTTGGCCGATCCTTAGGCTGAGCAGCTGTGGGCAGGACGAGCAGGGTCCTGGGCCCCAAAGCTGGCCACTTCTTATGAGGAGCCACTTGTGCCACACTCCTCAAGTGCCTGTCAGCTGGTGGGCTCTTGGGGGTCTCATGGATAGAGCCTTCTGCTCATATGTCACAGCCAATTCACAGGCACCTGCTGGCCCAATTATGGCCTGAGGTGGCTCAGTGTGAGCTACATTCCTCACCTCTGTGACAGTAGACACCATCCAGTGAATAAGTCCATTTAATGGTTCATCTCAAGGAAACAGTCCTCCAAACAAAAGGCTTGGTATAAGGTGCTGTTCACTGCCCAGTTAATGGTTACAGTTTGTTACTGGTAACAAACCCAGCCCCTAAGTAGCCAACAGTAGGGGCTGGGGAGCTCTGTGGACCGCCCACTTAGTGGGCTCTTTGAAAGAGGTAGCAGTGCTGTTTACAAAGGGTGAACATGTTTCCTGTTTCTGTGCCTGTTGTGCAAACATAGAAAAACATGTTTTAATCTGGGGGCACGGCCATGTGGACAGTGTGTTTACAGCTGCACCCCAAGCCTGCCTTGGGTGGAAATCGTGACGGTTATGTCCCAGCACAAGCTGACTTTTTCTCTTCTACTTTTTAGTGTTTAGAAGTTTGTGGCCCACTGTGTGACCACAGACAGTTGCCTCCCGCTCAGCAGTCCTGTGCCTCCGCGCGCAGGGGGAATGAGAATGCGTGGTTGCCACCCTGGAGTAGTCTCTAGGGGCATGGCACTGGCAGCTTTTGGCGGCTCAGCACCATGCCTGTCACGTAGCAAGCCCTCATGCGGATGGGTGGCATTGAACTGAATAATTGCTATTCCAGTTCTTTCCCACTAGAGGTGTGGGTGGGAGCTCGTCCGCAGAAAGGGGCTCCACATCCTCCTCAGGCTCTGTCGCCTGCTCCCTCAGGCATTCCTCATCAAGACACCATGGACAACCCCACTACACCCAGTACGCCAGCCTCATGCACAGCTTCATCCTGAAGCACGAGCACCGTGCGCGAAATCGACCCTGCAGAACGATCTCACCTTCCTTCGAATTCGTCTCCAAGAAAAATGAAATTATGGTTGCACCAGGTAAGGGGTCTTCTACCTCCCCATGTAGGAGCAGACCTCACGGCAATTCTCTGCCATCTCATCAGGAGGCTGGCACAGGGTGTCCCAGAGATCCAGGCAGGGCCCGAGGAGTTGAAGGAACTGGGTTGTTGCCTTACTGCCTAGCCAGCCCTCCAGCTGTGTTCCCACAGCAGATCCGCCCAGGACTGGCCCCAGAAGGGAACCAGTCTCCTGGGATAGACAGACACGTGAGCATCATTGTGTCTCCCCTGCCTTGATAGAGAAACTCAAAGGCATTTGGGAGACACTAGAGGAGGGTGTGGCCAGGCCTGTCTGCGGGCTGTCTGCAAAGGCTTCCCAGAAAGGGGGACACCGGAACTCGAATCTTAAGGGCACAGGAAGCAGTGTGAGCAGGCAGAGGGGCGGAAA